ACCACATCTTCTTTATCTATTCATCAGTCAATGGACATTTAGGCTCTTTCCATAGTTTGGCTATTGTAGCAGCTAATGCTGCTATAAATACTGGGGTGCTTGTGCCCCGTCAAATTTGTATTTTTGTATCCTTTGGGTAAATACCTAATAGTGCAATTGCTGGATTGTAAGGTAGTTCTATTTTGAATTTTTTGAGGAAACTCCATACTGTTTTTCGGAGTGGCTGCACCAGTTTGCATTCCCACCAACAGTGTAAGAGAGTTGGCTTTTCTCTGCATCCTTGCCAATATTAGTTGTTTCCTGTCTTGTTAATTTTAGCCTTTCTGACAGGTGTGAGGTGGAATCTCATCATAGTTTTGATTTGTATTTCCCTTCTGATGAGTGATGTTGAGTATCTTTCCATGTCTGTTAGCCATCTGGATGTCTTCTTTGGAAAAGTGTCTATCCATATCTTCTGCCTATTTCATAAGTGGATTACTTGTCTTTTGGGTTTTCAGTTCGATAAGTTCTTTATAGATTTTGGACAATAACTCTTTATCAGATATGTCATTTGCAAATATCTTTTCCCATTGTGCAGGTTGCTTTTTAGTTTTGTTGACTGTTTCCTTCACTGTGCAAAAGCTTTTTATCTTGATGAAATCCCAATAGTTCATTTTTGCTTCTGTTTCCCTTGTAGATGTACACATTTTTAATAAAATATTAGCAAATGGAATTAGTAATATATGAAAGGAATTACACATTGCAATGAAGTGAGGTTCATTCCAGGGATGCAAGACTGGTTCCATATTTAAAATCAGTTAATGTAATCCACCATATTAATTGGCTTAGGAAGAGAAATCACATAATAATATCATTTATTGCAAACTTTTTTCCCACAAAATGTAACACCCATTCATGATAAAAACTCTCAGAAAAATAAAAATAGGGGGAAACTTCCTCAATTTCATAAAGAACATCTATAAAAACCTATAGTTAACATTATACTCAGTGGTAAAATATTGAATTTTTCCCCCTTAAGATTGGGAACAAGATAAGGATTTCTGTTTTTATCATTCATATTCAACATACTATTGGAAGTTCTAGCCAGTGCAGTATGGCAAGAAAAGGAAATAAAAGACACATAGAATAGAAAGGAAGATATAAAATTATCCCTATTTGCAAATGATATGGTTGTCTATGCAGAAAATACCAAGGAATAAATGAGTTCAGCAAGATCACAAAATACAAAAAAACAAAACCAAACCCCCAAACCCAAACCATTTATTTCTTTATACTAGCAATGAACAGGTGGACTCTGAAATTAAAATAAAAAATTATTTACAATCAAAGAAAATGAAATACTTAGAAGTAAATCTAACAAAACATTTACATGATTCATGTGCTGAAAACTGCACATGTTGATGAAAGAAATAAAAGAAGATATACATAGAGAGACATAATGTGTATATGGATAGGAAGATTTGACATAGTGAAGACGTCAATTCACCCCAAATTGATATACAGGTTTAATGCCATTTCTACCGAAAACCCAGCAAGATTTTTTTGTAAACATAGACATGATGATTCGAAAATTTACATGAAAAGACAAAGGAACTAGAATAGCCATAAACAATTTGAAAAGGAAGAATAAAGTGAGAGGAGTCACTCTAGCAGGTTTCAAGAGTAAATAGTATATATATTATATAGTATAATAATCAAAATTATCTGGCATTGGTGGGAGGATAGACATGCAGATCAATGGAAAAGAACGGAGAATGCAGAAATAGCTCCACACCAATATACTTAATTGATTTTTGAAAAAATACAAAAACAACTCAATAGAGGAAAGATAGCATTTTCATCAAATGGTGCTGGAGCAACCGGACATCTGCCTACAGGCAAAAAAATGAACCTCAACTTAAGTCTCAGACCTTATATAAAACTAAACACATAATGGACCACAAACTTAAATATAAAGTGTAAAAACTATACAGCTTTTAGAAAAAAAACAGAAAATCTTTGGGATCTTGGATTAGGCAAAGACTTCTTAGACTTGACACCAAAACCACAATCCATAAAAGAAAAAAATTGATAAATTGACATCATTAAAATGAAAAACTATTGCTCTGCAAAAGACCTTGTTAAGAAGATGAAAAGACAAGCTAGAGTGGAAAAAATTTATGAACTACTATCTGTCCAAGGACTAGTGTCTAGAATATATAAAGAACTTTCAAAGCTCAACAGTAGAAAAAAACCAATCTAATTAGAAAATGAAGATGTTTTAGAGATAGCTAATAATCACATGAAAAGATGTTCAACTCCGTTAGCCATTACAGAAATGCAAATTAAACACATCTATCAGAATGGCTAAAATAAAAAAGAGTGACAACACCAAATGTTGGCAAGGATGAGAAAGGACTAGATCACCCATACATTGCTGGTGAGAATGTATAATGGTGCAGCTACTCTGAAAACAGTTTGGCAGTTTCTTAAAAAAAATGAAATGTGCAACTACCATATACCTAGCAATTAGACTCTTGAATATTTGTCACAAGAAATGAAAATGCATTCACAGAAAAACCTGTATATGAAAGTTCATATTTTTCATACAAGCCCCAGACTGGAAACAGCCCAGATGTCCTTCAGTGAGTGAATATTTAAACAAATTGTGCACATCCATGCTATGGAACATTACTCAGCAGTAAAAAGAAATAGACTACGGGTGCACACAATGAACCAGCTGAACTTTCAGAGAATTATGCTGAGAGGGAAAAAATCCAATCTCAAAAGATTGTATACTGTATGATTTCTTTTATAATAACATTCTTGAAATGAAAAAAACTATAGAAATAATGAGCAGATTAGTAGTTTTCCAGGAATCAGAAAGGGATGTGGTAGGTGGAGATGGGATAGGAAAGAGTTGGGTGTAGGTATAAAAGGGCCACATGGGGGATCCTTGTGGTGATGGAAATGTTCTGTGTCTTTACTGTATCAATATCAATGCAGTGGTTGAGATCCTGTACTATAGTTTTGCAAGATATTACTATTGAAAGAAACTGTGCAAGGTGCACATGGACCTCTGTATTATTTCTTATGCCTACATGTGATTCTACAATTATCTCAAAATAACAAGAAAAAAAGAGAGGAACATTTACTGGGCAATTGGGGAATTATGAACCATGACTGGATTTTGTAATGTGATGGTGGCATTATGTTTTAGTTGTAAAAGATTAGTATACTCTTACAAGACCCATATTGAAATATCTACTGATGAAATGACGTATCTGGAATTTGCTTCAGAGCAATCCAGAGTGGGGGATAAGCAGGCGAGAGTGTCCTGGGAAAGTGAAAAAGCATGACTAGATCATTGTTGGAGCTAGGTGAGAAGTGCGTGGGTTTTTTTTTTAACGTCATACATTATACGTGGTCATCCAACATGGAGCTGTGGAAACCAGTGCAACATGGTGGTTAAGCCACTGCCTTTAGAGACAGTTGGACTTGGTTTGGACCTAGTATCTGCTACATATTACCTCTGTGACTTTGGGCAAGTTATTTAACCTCTGTGTAAAATGGGATACTGTCTCAGGGTAATTGTAGAGATAAGATTGCCAAAGATAGGGTGAGAAAAAGAAAGATCTTCTCTCAAGGGGTAGGAGAGGGAGGGAAGTCAATGCAGGAGACAGAAGAGCTGTTGGAGGTGGAGACCCAAGGTTAGGTTGGGCAGTTTCTTGTGACTCGGAATCTAAAAAAAGGTCTCAAAAAGAGTTTTAAGAAGATGAAAACTGATGAAGAGCCATCAGATTTGGTGTTCAGCAAGTCATGGTGCTGACAGTGGCTTGGATTCGGTGGTGAGGGTGGGCCCAGATGAAGATGCTGAGAAGTGGATGGGGAAAGAAAGTGTGGCCCACCACTCCTGACCTTGGTGCAATGGTATGGAGAGACAGCTCCAGAGAGAAGGAGCATAGGGGGGGTTAAAGAGCAGAAAACAACTGGAGAAGAGAAAGAGATGGAAAATAAGAAAGGAGGGACTGGTTAGGTGGTGTTGTCATGAGGGGAACCAGAAGTCCCAAGATCATGGTGGGAAGGCAGTTCCTTTCTGATACAGATTGGTATTGCTCCTAAGGCTGTTTTATCTGCCCCTGGTATTTCACCTCATCCTTCATTTGATACTCATTTGAATATCTATTTAAAAAGAAAGAACATTATAAGACATCGGGAATTACGAGTACTAACTAGATTTTTTAATATGATGGTAGGATTGTAGTTTTGTTTTAAAACATTAGTCTTTGGTTTTTATAGATTGATACTGAGACATTTATGGGTGAAATGATGTGTCTGGAATTTGCTATGGACTCTGAAGAAAATGAGAATATTTTGTTTTTCTGGAGAGATGTTTTGGAATCATGGCGCCATGTTGACATGTGTCAACAAGCTCTTGTGGACACTTATTATTTATTAGGTTTCCTCATGCAGAATATGCCATGGTAATGTTGTTCCTTTACACAGTGGTTTCGTGTGTGTGTGTGTGTGTGTGTCTTACCACTCCAGAGTGACCAGTCTGTGACTGACTCACCAGCACCTACTCTCAAGGCATCTGTGTTCAATCTGGAAATCCCTGAAGAGAAAGGTTTCCTCATCTGTGGGTGTGAAGCTATGGGTGCTTATCTCAGTCACCGTGGTCTGAAGGACTCGGGTAATGAATGAATCCTTTGAGGCAAGCTTCGTCTGAGAGCTGCACCTGACTTCCTCAACCTCCTCTCTATCAGGGCTGAACTGACCCAGAGGACATTTTCTGTGTCCTAAAGCAGCCAAATCCTCTCCAAGCTATGGACTGGGTGGGTTGCTAACCTCAGCTTCTGCTCATTTGGTGTGAGGATGCAAGAGTCAGGGTTGAACTCCCAGGCAACTCTACCCACGCAACCAGCAGCCTGCCCACCAAAAGTAACCCAATGAACTCATCTTGCCACATGAGGGATGACCACATGGAGGCCCAGACTGAACAGAAACCCATAATGCAGATGAAGGCATAAGCAATGGGGCTAATCTTTATTGAGGTGAGCACATTCATGTCAGCTATTCACAATGATTGCAAATCTCTAGTTTTAAAAAGCTTCCTACTTCCATACAGCTCTGTCTACATTTAGGAAGCAATAAAAATATATTGTACAATGAACAATTTCCACCTTAAGAGTATCATGATAGCTCATAAATTTGTCAATAGAAATTGCAAAAACACTATTTACAACAAGATAGACTGTAAGTTCAAAATTTAGATACTTATGGCATAATTCTAAAACTAACCTCATATGTTTTCCCAGGTAAGAAAGACCAGTCATTATAAAAATACTTTATATAAATTCAAAGTCAGAACTAAAACATTCAATCCTATAAAAATATCTTTTACTAATCAAAGTATCAATTTCTATATAAATGTTCTTTATCAACAACAGTTACACACTTAAATTTTCAGGAAATACCTAGTATGTCAGACAGTCCACTTAAACATGTTAAAGTTACTTCAAGGCACAGTTGTAATCCTGTCTTAGTTTCAGAGATGGACCACATATTTGATTATGTTGCATATTAATGGAACAATTGTTCTACAAAAAGTTAACTCAAGTATCCATGTATTATGAAAGCATTTATAAAGACAAAGTCTTCAGCCTATGAAAGGGATTTTCTGGTGGGCACTGCCTTCAGAAGGTACCACTTTTGTTATGAGTCAGCTACGTAGTGCTTTGAAATGTTTAACTTGGAAAGCCTGTGATGGCATTTTGACCACTATCTGAAATCAGCTCATTCATTTCATTTTGCTTACTCTCTTTTAGGGCATGATTGGGATGATTTCTTTGTATTTGTGTTCTTTTTGATCTCCTAAAACATACTTTCAGCAGCAGGTAACACAACTCAGCCACATTAAGCAGCATGCAAATCACAGATGCAGAAATCATAAAAATGGTAAACACGGTTTTCTCAGTAGGTCTAGAGATAAAGCAGTCGACAAGGTTGGGGCAAGGGTCAATCCCACATTTCAACACCCAGGGCAGGTGGTACCCATTGTAAAGGAAGTAAAACACATACATAAAGGATGCTTCAAAGATGATTCGGAAAAAGATACTGCTGGTGTACGTCCACCACAGGGATCCCTCTATCCGAACCTTCTGCTTTTTAATGTCTTCTAAGTCTTTGAATTCATTTCTTTTCTCTCCTCGCCTAAATTTGCGGGCGGCCTCGTGTCTGTAGTAGGCGACATGCATCGCTACCAGCAGGGCCGGGGTGGAGACAAAGATGAGTTGCAGGGCCCACAGCCGGATGTGAGACACAGGAAAAAAGTGGTCGTAGCACACATTTTTGCATCCTGGTTGCAGCGTGTTGCAGACAAAATCTTCCTGTTCATCACCCCACACTTCTTGAGCAGCCACTACAAGGATCATGACACGGAAAATGAAGATGACGGTGATCCATACCTTCCCGATGCTGGTGGAGTGTTTGTTTACACCCCCGATGAAAGTGTGTAGGGTACCCCAGTCCATTGTGTTGGCCTATTCCTAAACAGACAAAAATTAGCGAAGGTTAGTTAATGGAAAGTTCCTTTGATTTTATAAAATAGTATAGTTATATTATAGACTGAAGCAAATTTCTCTTAAAGTATGCTGCGAGGGGCTCTTGGGTGGCTCAGTGGGTTAAGTGGTTAAGCGTCTGCCTTCAACTCAGGTCAGGTCCTTCTCGGCAGGGTGTCTTCTTCTCCCTCTCTCCCTCTGCCCCCCCCCCACCCGCTCCTGCTCTCTTTCTCTCTCTTCTTCAACTAAATAAATAAAATCTTAAAAAACAATAAAGTATGCTGGGATATTTTATAACTTCAACCTCCTAGGTTGCTAGTAGGTTTTCTGGTAGGGAATGCCCACTCTAAGAACATTCGAACATTTTTAAACGGGAAATAACCGTTGGGGGTTTCAGATCATCTTGATTCAACTGAATTCAGATTATATATTAGGTTGCTGTTTGACATTAGTGCAGGAACGTAGATAAACAAATACATTTCCCAATTTTCTTTTAACCACCATGTGTGTAAGTACTGTATTAGTTTCGTTTTGCCCAAGGGATCACAGAGGTTCCACAGTAGATCTTATTCCATTAAACGGCTTATTAAAGAGAAAAAAATAATCCTTGGAATGACATATGTGGTTTACCCAGCAGACTCGGAAGGGGGAAGAGACCCCAATACTTGCAGTTTATACAATGTATTTATGTTTACTTCTAGTTTGAATAACATCATTTGCTGAAATCATGTGTTCTTAGGAGACCTGATGTCACACACTACTGAAAGGTCCTCTTCTGAAAGAGAATGACTAGCATTTAGAAAAAGCACTCACTCGCTCTCCAGATAACCGGGGCTGGCACTAGCTTTCCCTCCCCAATCACCAGGAGCGCACCAGGAGCCATGGATGAAGGGAACCAGCAATGCAGAGCCCCTCCCTCTTAATGCATTGATTTAGCATCTTGAGAGAAAACATTCTTGACTTGCACAGGAACTTTTGCTACAATTCAAACAGACACCTTCTTACCCTACATTGCTACAGAAGCCTAGAGAATTAATCAGCATTCAGATAAAAAAAAAAATGAGAATCTTTTGAAAGTGAAAACCTTCTCTTCAGAAACACAGGCTAACACAAATTGTCATACCTTTTAGGGGATGAGGGAGCTGCCAAAGTCCTTTCGTCAATCTGTCTGAGGGAGACTTTCTTGTATTTGACTGCACCCCGGGGTCAGGCTTCTCCTCAGGCTGACAACCCCCCCACCCCACCTTCTTGGCTCCATCTCCTGCTCCACCCCCTCTGCATCACATCTGTTGCTCTTTGAGACAACTGGGTAAATGGAGGCAGCCTCAGCTCCTTCAGGAATGCTCAGCACTGAGTCTCTGGATGAGGTGCAAATGTGTGCTCCAGAAGCAAGACCCTTTGTGGATGCTAATAAAGTCAGCCAGTCCTGTATTGTGAAAAGCAGACCTCCACTTTAGTTGGCTTTCTGAGAAATTCATCTTTGCCCTTGGTTTGGTTTTTATACACCACCTTTTTCTTAGAAAGACATAGGTTCAAGGAAAAATGCCACCATCCATATTATAGGTGTATGTGGATTCCTCCTCTGTCTGAACTGCGCACTGGAAGTAGGGGGCACACGCTGTGGAAGGGGTGGGGAGGGGAGCACAAGCAGGGGCATAGCTAGAAATTTCTACATCATGAGTTTCTGCCTCTGCCTTCTCCTCTTGCCAAAGCATATAGAGCCCAATTATAGACAAACCCCTCCCGGTCACCACATTGCCAAGGCAAGTAAATAACAATCACCAAGACTTCCATAAGCATTTATTGAATGTCTACTGTATAGAGATGTTAACTATTTCATCTTTGCATCCCAAGGCACAGTCCAGTTCCCAGCACTGAGTAGGTTCTGAACAAAGCTGCACAGCAGATGGGGGATGCAGGGGGGTCATGGCTAGAAGCGCTGGGGAGAGCTTCCTATCCAATCATGCATTCCTATCCTAGGAAATTGAAGGTGTTAGATCACAACTGTGCAAGGAGGGAGCACATAGGATCTTAAGAAAAAAATGTGGAGGAGATAACGTGACTGCACTTCACATGTATTTTCACTTGATTAATGGAGTCACCAGAAGATAGGATAATTGAAGTGATCATGGAATTTCACAGATGCTTATTCTTTCCTTGAATAATCCATAAGAAGGAGTCAAAAAACAGCACTTAACAAACCAGCACCCTCAGAGTATTCAGGGCTCCCAGATGCTGCAAGCGGGCACCAAAGCCAAGGAGGTGGAGCTGGGAATAAGGAACCAGAGAAATCGTTTTGAAGGGTTTAGTGCATACTGTCCTATTCCAACTCCGCTGGCCAGAAAGAAGTAAAGGACTTCGAAATGTTTACAGGTCTTAAAACTTGTTCAAACCATGGAGTACAAAAAGTTTTAACACAGAATATGACAAGAAATTTGAATTCTTAAGTCCAAACTAAAATTGAGCCAAAAGCTTACATTGTGGCAGAAATGGGAAAATGCAAATTATCATTTTAACTTAGCCTAGACTTTACTAATTTTTTCAATGAAAATGAAAAGACAGGTGGAATTCCAATTTTAGTATATGTGCTGCCGAAGCGAGCACAGACAGGTGGAATTCCACAGCTGAAGATTTGAAAAGGGGCACTGGCGGTGGGGGTGGAGGGGGAAGACAAGAGCTCATAAGTGTGTCACACAGTTCTGAGGGAGTCAGCTAAGGGAGGGAGAAACTTCCAGCAGCACTGAGGGGCTCAGATTTTCAAGCAACAATAAGATGGAAGACAACCCAGATCATCACACACAAGTGGAGGGATCCAGACTTGTAACAACAATGTCAAAAAATTTAATCACTAATTGAGCAAAAAAAAAAAAAGGAAGATAAAAATCATGAAAAAGAAAGAAAAATAAGATACTTGAGCCAAAAGAAAAGAAAGGGGTGGGCACAATAGAGCACAAGGCATAATTTTACCTGTTAACAGAGAAAAGGCAGAAACTCTTCCCCTATTTTATCAAAGAGAAATTATTTAAAAAATTATTTCCAGAAGCATGATACAAGAGAGGTGTGGAGCTAGTGCCTACCTTCTGAGAAAGAGATTTTCAATATTCACAGTAAATGTATCTTTGATTTTAAAAACTCATCTTGGGGGGCACCTGGGTGGCACAGTAGGTTAAGTGACCGACTCTCAGTTTTGGCTCAGGTCTGACCTCAGGGTCGTGAGATCGAGCTCAGCGCAGTCTTCTTGAGTTTCTCTCTTCCTCTTCTTCTGCCCGCCCCCCTCTCAAATAAATAAATCTTTAAAAAATTAAAAAAATAAAAACACATCTTGGATAACATGAATTATAAAATTAATTTTTAGTTTATAATGAAAGTCGTTATAATAAATTTTCCTAATTGTTGCTAATTGTTTTCTATCCTGGAAGCATTTCAGGAGGTAGAAACACATACATCTTGATGTTTAAACATATTTTACACAGCTGTTCACCTAGGGGACAGTCCTATTTGTTAATAAAATGAAGATGTTCTCTAATTAACCAATAAATATCCCCCATTGCAATTTGGTTTAATTAAGTGTTCAATCAACAAGTTTTTGATTTATCAAATAAAAGTTCACATTTTCTTAAACCCTCCAAAGTGCAGAGAATTTAAACTCCTCAGCAAGTAAGAAGGCTGTTTTTCCCTGAGTTCTTTATCAACAGGCTTCCTGAACACTGGCGCACCTGTGGTCACCTATTACCTGCCCTGCTAGCAAGCAAACCGATCAAGGTGCTAAAGGACAACTCAGTCTGAATGAATTTGGAGAGGCTGAAGCTGTGGGAGAGGTCGTGAGGTCAGAATTTCCGCACAAGAATATGGTTCCGGCTTTCTAGAAGCAGGATCCTTGGCACCCATGCCGTAGGGCTTCTCCTTCTTAAAAAAAAAAAAAAGGAACAATTATCATGGCAGTGGTTTTATTTCTTTTGGCTTTTCTGGGTGCCCAAATTACACATTCTGAAGTTCTATCCAAGTAGCATAGCTGAACAGAAAATAATCTATTTTACAATACCTTTGACTTCCACTAAATATCAGTAATTTCCCCCCGTGCCTTTAAAGGCAGAAAAAGAGATGCGTAGGTCACTAAGAAAAATGAGTGATTAAACCCAAATACAAGTGTGTCCAGCCTACTGGTCACTCAAGACAATTAGGCTAAAGACAAACCACCTGATCTGCAGTATCTTCCTGCAGGAGCAACAAAGGCCCTATTACTTCTCACAGTAGGAATGACAGGAAGCGCTGCTCTCCATATTCTCCGTCCCTCCCTTGGCCTAAGTGTGCCCAGGAAACCCATTCAGTGAATGTGAGGCCATGTTTCCTACAGTGAGAGCTTCTCTTTCCATTCTTCTGTCTAGTCCACATCATTCTTGAGGGTCTTATGTATATGGGTCCTGGGTATCATTGTGTGCTAAGAGCAGGACAGCTTGCCTCACAACTGTCAGGAGCCAGTCAGGGAAAGGGACTGCCCCCAGCTTCCTGACACTTTGCTGCAGGAACCCTAATGCCTGGCTGCCCCCAGGACATACTTCCCGTGGGAGGAGCCTGGAAAAAAGGGAGCTTACAGAGAGCAGAAGATTCACCTCCACTTTTCCTCCTGACTCGACCTTTCCGTGGGTTGAAGCCACTTCTGGCTTGGCGGGAAGAGACTGCCCACCGGGCCCAACCCTCCCTTGCCTCTCCCTGTAAAAACATAACTCCTGGGGGAGCTTTCCACCAACATCTTGGTTGTAGAAGATTTGAAGGCTGAACGCTCTTTGAAAATTACTTTCTGAAACAACTGCATCCGTTGGAACGCTTTGCAATTAATATTAGTAAACAAAATACTTCCTTTCATGCTTTAGACAGACTGCAGCCAATGGGAGGAGCCTTTTCAATAAAAAGTAAAATATTAACTCTTTGTGAACAGAGAGGTTTATCTTAACTGGTGCCTCTCTGGCTCTTTTTTTTTTTAA